ATGTATTGATTTTGCGGCAAAACAAAAAAATAAATAAATTTTTGAGAAAAAATTAAGGTAAACAACTTGTGTCGTATACATTTTGATATTATGCAGCAAATTTTTAAAGTAAAATTGTAAAAATCACGACCTAGTTTTACGACTTTTTGAATATGAGTCAGAATTAGATTAATTCATGTTTAATAGAAAGTTATAGTAAACTATTTTACTAGTATAGTATATAAAGTTATGGACCAATTTTAGAGTTATTAATTTTTTTGTTTAACAAAAGAAAATTCTATTTAATTTATTCAACTTTTCCGATATCGCGTACAGCATGCACAGTGAGGCAGGATGGCATTTAATTTAAATAAATCTGAGATTGAAATGGGTTTAGTTTTGATTCTAATTAAGATGCTCTAAGATCGAAAATTAACTGGTCTTAACAAAAGTTATAAGTTTGGGGCAAATATGGATCAAGTTATTCCTGATATTTACAAATGTATTCAAAAATAGGTCAAATTAGGAAGGGAGCAGGAGCGACATATTCAAAAAATAGTGCATGTTTTTTAATACCAAAATTTTTTTCCGTAAAGATGCTATTAGGTCTCTGCCGAGCGCTTTTCTTAGCTACGACCATTTCAACTTCCAAAAAAATTCAATTTGCTCCACTGTGTTAGTTAGTTAGTTAGTAGTTAGTTAGTTAGTAGTTAGTTAGTTAGTTAGTCGTTAGTTAGTTAGTTAGTTAGTTAGTTAGTTAGTTAGTTAGTTAGTTAGTTAGTTAGTTAGTTAGTTAGTTAGTTAGTTAGTTAGTTAGTTAGTTAGTTAGTAGTTCGTTAGTTAGTTAGTTAGTTAGTTAGTTCGTTAGTTAGTTCGTTCGTTCGTTTCGTTCGTTCGTTCGTTCGTTCGTTTCGTTCGTTCGTTTTCGTTCGTTCGTTCGTTCGTTCGTTTTTCGTTCGTTCGTTTTAGTTCGTTCGTTCGTTCGTTCGTTCGTTCGTTCGTTCGTTCGTTCGTTCGTTCGTTCGTTCGTTCGTTCGTTCGTTCGTTTTCGTTCGTTCGTTCGTTCGTTCGTTCGTTCGTTCGTTCGTTCGTTCGTTCGTTCGTTCGTTTCGTTCGTTTCGTTCGTTCGTTCGTTTCGTTCGTTCGTTCGTTCGTTCGTTTTCGTTCGTTCGCGTTCGTTCGTTCGTTCGTTTTCGTTCGTTCGTTTTCGTTCGTTCGTTCGTTCGTTCGTTCGTTTCGTTCTTCGTTCGTTCGTTCTTCTTTCGTTCGTTCGTTAGTTCCCTTCGTTTGTTCGTTCGTTCGGGTTGTCCTCTAGCCCTCGCTCGCCATTTAATAGAATTACTTTCCTTTAAGACCACTCGATAGATTCTTCACAATTTAGCTAATGGACTAATCCACAGATTTATCTACTTCATACATTAGTCAGTGCAGTAGTGATTTTGTAACTTTAATACCTAAAAAGTACTATTTTTAATATTTTAAAAAAAATTTTAAAAAAATATACCAACTTTTTAATTAAATTTAGCCAAGTGCATTTTTATTTAAAAATTTCTCTTCCAAAAATAACATTTAATTTAACAACAGTTAAATCGGGGATGCCATAATACCCATGCAAAAAAAAAAAAAAATAAATGAATTCCTTGAACACATTAATTTTTTTCTTTTTTTTTAATTGTAATAAATTCTTAAAAAATTGTTTATATCATTAACAAAATTACGTCAACGAGACGTCATAACTTTTTCAAAAAAACCTGTATAGAATTTAAATTAGAAAAATAACACCAACAGTAACTAACCGAAACCCCAAACAAAAGTGTCTGTTAAAAAGAATAAATTCATAAGTGTGTAACCGTTAAGTAGTTTAACATTTTAACGTCATATAAACTATATTTTATCTTTTTTTTTTTAATTTTTGTTTTTATTTTATAATGCAACATACAAAATTTCATAGAAATATAGAAACGTGGAAAAATGTAACTAACAGAGCCGCAAAATAAATAAAATTGTTCATTAAAAGTTAAAATGTATGAAGAAAAAAGTTAAAAAAACAGTAGATGATAGTAAAGTAAGTAAAAGACTTTTTGTAAAGTTAAATGTTGAAAAAAATAGCAAAACACTTGAAAAGAAATGTGACACGAATAAGAAAAACTTTTAGTATTTAAGAAATTTAGTTTCGAAACAAAAACATTGTAACAAAATGCAAACTTTAACTAAAAGATACCAAAATTTTATTAAATATTTAAACATTTAACTATTTCCGTTGTGAAATATTGTTGTTTTTTTGTAAAGAGTTAGACAATTTGCGCCAGCATTTATGTTGCTTGAATATGAAATCTTAAAATCAGTGATCGACTCAAAGAGTATTTATTTTAAGCTATGACTAGACTATAGACTAGACTATAGACTAGACTATAGACTAGACTATAGACTAGACTATAGACTAGACTATAGACTAGACTATAGACTAGACTATAGACTAGACTATAGACTAGACTATAGACTAGACTATAGACTAGACTATAGACTAGACTATAGACTAGACTATAGACTAGACTATAGACTAGGACTAGACTAGACTAGACTAGACTAGGACTAGACTAACTAGACTATAGACTAGACTATAGACTAGACTATAGACTAGACTATAGACTAGACTATAGACTAGACTATAGACTAGGACTATAGACTAGACTATAGACTAGACTATAGACGAAGACTAGACTAGACTAGACTATAGACTAGACTATAGACTAGACTATAGACTAGACTATAGGACTAGACTATAGACTAGACTATAGACTAGACTATAGACTAGACTATAGACTAGACTATAGACTAGACTATAGACTACTATAGACTAGACTCTATAGACTAGCTATAGACTAGACTATAGACTAGACTATAGACTAGACTATAGACTAGACTATAGACTAGACTATAGACTAGAACTATATAGACTAGACTAGACTATAGACTAGACTATAGACTAGACTATAGACTAGGACTATAGACTAGACTATAGACTAGACTATAGACTAAGACTAGGACTAGACTATAGACTAGACTATAGACTAGACTATTAGACTAGACTATAGACTAGACTATAGACTAGACTATAGACTAGACTATAGACTAGACTATAGACTAGACTATAGACTAGACTATAGACTAGCATAGACTAGACTCTAGACTAGACTATAGACTAGACTATAGACCTAGACTATAGGACTACTAGACTAGACTATAGACTAGACTATAGACTAGACTATAGACTAGACTATAGACTAGACTATAGACTAGACTATAGACTAGACTATAGACTAGACTATAGACTAGACTATAGACTAGACATAGACAGATAGACTAGACTATAGACTAGACTATAGACTAGACTATAGACTAGACTATAGACTAGACTATAGACTAGACTATAGACTAGACTATAGACTAGACCATAGACTAGACTATAGACTAGACTATAGACTAGACTATAGACTAGACTATAGACTAGACTATAGACTAGACTATAGACTAGACTATAGACTAGACTATAGACTAGACTCTAGACTAGACTATAGACTAGACTATAGACTAGACTATAGACTAGACTATAGACTAGACTATAGACTAGACTATAGACTATAGACTAGACTATAGACTATATTGACTAGAATATATACCAAATTATAGACTACACTATATACTAAACTATAGACTAGACTTGACTATAGACTAAACTATAGACTAAACTATTGACTAGGCTATATACTATACTATAGAATAGTCTATAGACTAGACAATGGACCAAACTATTACTAGACTATAGACTGGTCTATTAACTAATCAAAAGCGTATAAGTTAAAAAGCTACCGTTCATTTGCCTGTTGAAAACACGATAAAGTCTGAACGAAACGAGGTAGTGCGCTGAAATTATCATATTGATCCAGGTTGTTTGATATTGAAAATTGGCTGTATCGACCAGAATACAGTTTAAAGATTCATAAGTGCCTCTCTACCAAATTTCATGATGATCAGTCCATAATTGACCCTACCCCCATATAAGATCGTCTTCAGAAAATTACTTCAACCCTCATTATAGATTTAATAATTATCAAAATTCCTTAACAAAATTTTATATAGCTCGGTTCATCACTCTCCCACCCTAATAAAGTCCTCCTTCAGAAATGACTTTATCTCTCTAGCAAATGTATTGAGGATCGGTCGTTTAGTTGATTGACTAGTCTACTCACTTGCTCATAGAATAGTCAGTAGACTAAGCCATGGGGAAGCCAATCGACTACAGCATAGACTTCTCAATAGACCAATCAATAGATTAGTCCATAGAGTAATCAATAAACTTGTAACTAGTGAATAAAGTATTCAAATAACAAGTCATAAAATTTGTCTTGTTGACTAGGCAATAGAAAGATCCATAACCTAGTCAATAGACTTGCTTATTTACAGGTATGGCCTCTGAGTGCCGGTCACTGCTTCAAATCGACAATGGCTTATATGAAATTTAATACATAAATATGAGGTAACTTTTGTTTGTGGTCGTTGGGTTGGTGGGTTGTTCGGTCGGTATATTGGTGCACGTTTTTGTTTCAAATTTCTAACTAGTGCAATTTTTTTACAAGTCAGTAGGTTACTGGTGTTTGTTTAACTTTGGGAAAATAATAAATAAAACATGTTAAGTTTTAAAAGGGAACAAATCGTACGTTTTTATCAGAAATAGGCATTTGCGTTCCTCAAACGAATTTCATTAAATTGTTAGCAAAATATATGTAGTGGTGGACTTTGATTAAATTACGGAAAATTACTTCCCTAGTTTCAAGTGTGATTATTGATCAGTTTAAAACTTTGGAATCAAAATAAATTATTTGTAAAAAATTGGTATAATTTTGACTCAGTTCGTTAAAATCCGATAATTGTTTGCTTTAAAAAACGCAAAATATTCATAACTTACCTTTGACCTTAATTCCTCAAGCAGATTATTTATAATATTATTTTTCTCATTACAGCTTACAGATGAAGTGGTACGCAAAAAGTCCGAATATCAAAAGCATCTTGAGGGTTATAAAGCCCTGAGAACACGTTTTGAAGAACATTATATTAAAGGTAAATATATACCGACTTGATAGATTGAAAATATCAATATTTTACAAATATCTTTGTATTTATTTTACAGCCGGTCGTGGTGGTCGTAAATTAGATGATGTTCGTGATAAATATCAAAAAGCCTGCCGTAAATTACACTTAACCCACAATGAATATGTACTCTCCATAACAGAAGCCATTGAAGTGGAAAAGGATTTTCGTAATATATTATTGCCCGGCCTCTTGGAACATCAACAATCGGTACAGGAAAGTTTTATATTATTGTGGAAGAATATTTTACAAGAAGCCAGCCAACACAGTGATTTAACAGCAGATAAATTTAAAGAAATACAAAAACGTATTGATAATGTGATAAATAGTATAAATCCCAGTGAAGAATATCGGGAATTTACCGAGAAACATAGGTAAGTTTAGATTTTATCCAAAGAAAACCATTTAATTATATTGTTAATTGCTTTTCGTTTCATCACTAGAACCTCCCCCACCAGCCCTGTAGTATTTCAATTTGATGAATCTCTTATCGAAGATATACCCGGTAAACTACAATCCAGTACATTGGCTGTAGATAATCTCACTGTGGACTGGTTGCGCACCAAACAATTGGAACTGGAATTGTCGGTTAAAGATTGCCAAGAGAAACAATTGAAAATGATAGAACATGTTAATGGTGGTTCACCGATAATTGCCAATGGTACTATAACCTCAAATGGTTCCATAACAAATGGTATACAATCCTGCAAAGAAAATCAAAAGTAAGTTGTTTTTTTAAGTTTATACTCAAGAGAATTTTTGATTTATAAACGATTTCTTTAGCCGCCAATCCAAGGACTTAAATGCCTTAAGATGCCAAGAAAAACAGAAACAAAAATTAGTTGACATGATTAAATTTGCCTTAAATGAAGTTGGCTGTGAAGAACTGCCTTCGGGTTGTGATGATCATTTGGATCCTAATTTTGATCATGGCTTTAATAATGATAATCATCAGGTATGTGTGTGTAATATTGTTTTGTTGAGGTGCAGGTTAAAATTTAAGTTGTCTTGTTACTGAGGTTGAGGTAGTAGTTGTAATTTTTTGGCATATGTATTAGTTTTTAATCTAGAAAAGGTCATGGAATTTAGTCATATAATGCATTTAAGAACACTTTGTTTAGTTTCACTTTGAAGATGAGTAAAATATGATCGAAAATTAAGCTAATGAATTTTTGCAACTGTTTTAATAAAGCCGTTTATTTGGAGCTTTTAATGTAGCTTTGTGTGAAAGTCAGGTAATACTTATTATATATCACTGGAAAGCTTATTGTGTCTACTTTATAAAACTTTATAATATTTTTAATATATGTAGAAAACCTAGAACACTTTTGTGTAAAATAACAAAAAATTTGTTTTTCAAAAATGTTTTTATTTTTTATAGTTGGAGCTTTTAATATAGCTTTGTGCGAAAGTCAGGTTATACTTATTATATATCACTGGAAAGCTTAATATGTTTACTTTACAAAACTATATAATATGTTTAATAAATACACAATACCTAGAATACTTTTAGGTAAAATAACCAAAATGTTTGTTTCTAAAATATTTTAAAAGTGTTTATTTGGAGCTTTTAATATAGTTTTGTGCGAAAGTCAGTTTATACTTGTTTTATATCACTGGAATGCTTATTGTGTCTACTTTTCAAAGCTATATAATATGTTTAATAAATACAGAAAACCTAGAACAATTTTATATAAAATAGCCAAAATTTTTATTTCCAAAATGTTTTTACTTTTTAAAAGTAAGAGAGTTTACTTTGAGCTTTTAATATATCTTTGTAGGAAAGTTAGGTTATACTTATTATATACCACTGGAAAGTTTATTGTGTCTACGTTACAACGCTATATGTTTAATAAATACAGAAAACCTAGAACAAATTTACGTAAAATATCCAAAATTTTTACTTCCAAAATGTTTTTACTTTTTAAAATTAAGGGTGTTTATTTTGAGCTTTTAATATATCATTGCACGAATGTTAGGTTATACTTATTATATATCACTGGAAAGCTTATTATGTCTACTTTACAAAGCTATATAATATGTTTAATAAATGCAGAAAACCTAGAACACTTTAATGTAAAATAACCCAAATTTTGTTTTCAAAATAGGTTTACTTTAAAAGTAGGGGCGTTTATTTGTAGCTTTTAATATAGCTTTGTGTGAAATTCAGGATATTATATTTTACTGGAAAGAAAAGCTTATTGTGTCTACTTTACAAAACTATATAATATGTTTAATAAATTCGAAAACCCTTGAGCAATTTTATGAAAAATATCAAAAATATATGTTAATTTTTTTATTCTAAAGGCTTTTAGTTGGAGCTTTTTATATAGCTTTGTGCAGAGGTTTTGTCTATTTATTTTATATCACTGGAAAGCTTAATGAGTCTACTTTAGAAATATTCATAATTTGTTTAGTAAACAAATAAAACCTAGAACACTTTTAGGTAAAATAATGAAAACTTTTAATTTTTTAAAAAGTTTCCAATTTCTTTTGTACTAATATTAAGTTAGATCTTCTGAGCATGGTAAAATCATTTGGTATAAATCAACTGAATAAATAAATAGTAGTAAATTACTAGGGGATCTGGCGTTATTGACCCTAGCCCCACTCTATATCCATTCTGCTTAATTTTAACAGTTGCAATAATTTCAACTTATTTTTCGATCATATTTGTAGGAAATTTCTAGTAGGAATTAAAAAAGAACCAATTTAATCAGCAACACTTAAACATTTGTGACTTATTATATAATACGACTATCTTGATCTTATTTCTCTTCCAATAAAAAAAATGCATATCTTTTTCTCCCTAAAAATAAAACAAAAAATCACCAAAAACAAAACTAACCTTCATATATCATTAATTACAAAAAAAAAAACAAAACCTAGAACTCCAATACAACTCCATCCGTAAGTATAATTAATGAACTAAGAAGACGTGGTGGCGTTTTAACACTACTACGAGGACGTCATTTTAAACGTAAATCAACACCACAACCTACAACGCCGACAGCTGCTACCAGAGCCAAAAGGCTTAACAACAAAATGAAACCCAGATCCCAGAGTTTGGGTTCATTATCGGTAAATAATCCTAATAGTCCTGCCAGATATGAGCCTATTACTAACCTACCCATGCGCATGGCTGCCAGTTATGAAACGAATAATAATCAAGGTTTTCTGCATGATTCAAGTGATTTTGATAAAGATTATACATTACGATTTGTGCCTTCTAAGTTAAGACGCAGTATGAGTCATGGTTCTATATGCTTAAGAAATCCCTTTAAAGAACAGGATGAGGATGATGAACTAGAGGCAAATGCCAATACTAACAAAGCTTTAAATAACAATCATATATATGCTGATTTAGATTTAAAGGAGGAAAGGGAAGTTGATAAAAATATGGAGGTATATAAAGAGGAAAAGGAAATTATAATTAAAACGGAATATCCGGCGGTAGTGGTAAATGAAAGTCAAAGCTGTCTAAGTAAAGTTGTTATAGAAATAAATAGAGTAGATGATGTTGTGGAAGAGGAAACTAATAAAGAAGTAGTAGAATGTGTAGCGGTAACAGAAACTAAGCCCGAACAAACTCCGTCCGAAATACCCGAGGTAATGCAAAATTCTATTGATGCCCATTTGGATAAGATCGATGAACTAAATCGTACTTTAGACAATCGTTTAAAACGTAATATTACACCTCAAATAACCGATTTAGATGCCATAGAATCTGCTGAAATTGTAGATGTTTTACAACGAGGGGCCATCTGCCTTAATGACAATACAAACAAACGTTATTCCACCTCCAGCTCGGATAAAGAGGTGCAAGTTAATTGTAACAATCAAGCAAATGATAAACAGAAAAAGAGATCTCTTTCGTTTTCACAAAAATCCATAAATGCCATACTCTGTAATATCAAAGAGTTTTCAAAAAGTCCTCTCACCAAAATGCATATTACGACGCAGGATAAAGACAAGGAATCAACCAACACGGATGCCAGCGAAACTAATTGTTTTAGTAGCAAACAATCCCAAGAAACAAATAATACTACAGCGAATCTTTTAAATAAAACACTGCCACCAGCTCCAGCCCCTACACCAATACCACTAGGTGATCTTAATACAAACACTTCTCCCCTAAAGAACACACAATGTAGCAATGACACCACTAATGAGGATAACACAACACAAACACCACTAACAACAGCAACAACTGGCCTTAACGAACATTTGCAACAACAACAGAAAAAACTACATTCCCTAGAATCTTTAAATGTTAATCATTCCACTGCCAATGAAAATCCGTCCAAGGATACACACATTATTACCTCAAAACTTAAATTTAAAGTGCCAAAAATACAAAAGAAATCAAAAGCCATACGTCAAACATTCCGCAGTAAATTCCTACATTTTCAATTGAGAAAAGGCAAACTCTGTAAGACATGCACTAAACGTCGACGCATACATCCGAGTAAAAGTGTTTTTGATTTTTCCAAAGAATTCCATTTCAATACTGCCAACGAACAGAGCAACGAAGAGAATGAAGAGTTTTGTACATGTCCCCTAGATCATCCTTCCTATCCGCCACCCTCAAATAAACGCATTAATATAACCTCCTCGCACATCAGCAATTGTTTCGATGATGAGGATGATGGTGAAACGAGTGATGATGTTTTATCAATGAAGGATCATTGCTATTGTGTTCCAAGTCTGGCAATGAGTGTGAGTAAATAGTCAAGTTTAGAAGCAACCAATAGGGGATTTCATTTTCCTCTCTCTCTTTATTTCTCTTATACACTGACTTTTTTTTAATTTGTAATAATTTTGAAGCACTTTTTTAGTTTTAGATGATCACTTGAATCCTGTAAAGCAAATAAATTGTTTCTATTATTTTATGAAAAGTAGTTAATAATAATTTTTTTTTTAATTAGTTGTTGCTTTTTGTGCAATTATTGTTGTAATTTTTTCATAGTTTTAGTTTTAATTAGCATGTAATTTATATTTATAAGTTATTTTTTAATATTTTTTTTTTAATTTTTGGCTTTAACTTTAATACTTTTGCATGAATTTGTTATTTATTTTTTAATTGATTTTTAAATTTAAGAGCATTTCTTTATTTTTAAATTAGGAGATTTTTTTCTTTAAATTTATTTTTTATTTCTCAATATATTTGTTTTTCTAGAAACCCTTAAAAAACGCATATTTATTTTTGCTCTTAATTTCTCATTTCAAAATATTTATAAAATATGAATTCACCCACTTTTACACTTTGTATGACGCATCGCAAATAGTGTTGTGAAATTTCCGAGTATAATGTTGAATCGATTATTTAAATTGTTATAAAATTATTGGAACTTTATTCTTTAGAAAAATTTCATTATTTTTTTAAGAAAATGTAGTTAGAAAGCTCTTCATTCGAAAAGCTTTCTTAAGATAACTTTTCAAAAGAGAAATTTTGGTCAAAAACTTTTTAAAACAACAATTTTCCTTATAAAACTTTTCGAACAAAGAATTTTCTTTAGAAAGCTTTTCAGCTTTTTTTTTTAGAAAACTTTTTGATTTTTCTTTAGAAAATTTTTCGAGCGAAAAGTTTTCTCTAGAAAAGTTATTTTTTCAAAATTTTGAATGAAGATTTTTCTTTAGAAAAGTTTTCGAGTGAAGAGTTCTATAGAAAAGCTTTCTTAAAAAAAAACTTTTTGAATGAAAATTTTTTCTTTAAAAACGTTTTCGAAAGAAGAATTTTCTTTGGAAAACATTTCGAATGAAGAGTTTTCTTTAGAAAACTTTTCGAATGAAGGGTTTTCTTTAAAAAAACTTTTTAAACGAAGAGGTTTCTTAAGAAAACTTTTCAAATGGAGAGTATTCTTTAAAAAAACTTTCGAATGAAGAGTTTTCTTTAGAAAGCTTTTCGAATGAAAAGTTTTCTATAGAAAAATCTTCGAATGAAGAGTTTTCTTAAAAAAAAATTTTGAATGAAGAATTTTCTTTAAAAACTTTTCGAATGAAATGTTTTCTTTAGAAAATTTTTCGAACAAAGATTTTTCGTTTTTCCTTTAAAATACTTTTCAGAATAATAACACTTTGGACAAATTGTTTTCTTTTACAAAATATTTCTCTATAACATTTTCTTTAGAAAACTTTTTGAATGAACAGTTTTCTTTAGAAAACTTTTCAGTTCAATTAGCAGTTTTCTTTAGAAAACTTTTCGAATGAACAGTTTTCTTCGTAAAACTTTTCTTTAGAAAACTTTTCGAATGAAGAGTTTTCTTTAGAAAACTTTTCCAAAGAAGAGTTTTCTTTTGAAAATTTTTCGAATGAAAAGTTTTCTTTAGAAAACTTTTCCAATGAAGAGTTTTTTTTAGAAAACTTTTCGAAGGAAGAGTTTTCTTTAGAAAACTTTTCGAATGAAGAGTTTTCTTTAGAAAACTTTTCGAATGAAGAGTTTTTTTAAAAAACTTTTCGAATAAAGAGTATTTTTTAGAAAACAATTAATAACACTTCATCCGAAGTGTTTTCTTTACAAAATATTTCTCTATAAAATTTTCTTTAGAAATCTTTTCGAATGAAGAATTTTCTTAAGAAAACTTTTCGAATGAACAGTTTTCTTTAGAAAACTTTTCGAATAAAGAGTTCTCTTTATAAAACTTTCGAACAAAAAGTTTTCTTTATACAGTTTTTCGAACAAAAAGTTTTCTTTATAAAATCTTCTTTTTGGAAATCTTCGAATTAAGAGTTTTCTTTAGAAAACTTTTTCAATGAATAATTTTCTTTAAAACACTTTTTGAATGAAGAGTTTTTTTAGAAAATTTTTCGAACAAAGACTTTTTTCTTTAGAAAACTTATCGAATGAAGAGTTTTCTTTAGAAAATTTCCAATGAAGAATTTCTTTAAAAAACTTTTCGAATGAACAGTTTTTTATAAACATTTCCTTTAGAAAACTTTTCGAATGAAGAGTTATTCTTAAACAACTTTTCGAATGAAGAGGTATCTTTAGAAAACCGTTCTAATGAAAGTTGTCTTTAGAAAACTTTTCGAACAAAAAGTTTTCTTAAGAAAATTATTCGAACAAAGATTTTTCTTTAGAAAACTTTTCGAATGAAGAGTTTTCTTTTCGAAAAAAATAAAAAAAAAATTTCGTTTTTTCTTTATAAATTATTTGGAAAGAAGAATTTCGAAAACTCTTCTTATTTTCGAAAAGTTCTTTAGAAAACTTTTCGAATGAAGTTTTTTTAAAAAAAAACTTTTTAAAATAATAATATTCTGTAGCTCAATTTTCGAATAAAAAGTTTTCTTTTTAAACTATTTTGTAAAACTTTTCCAGCGAAAAATTTTTTATAAAAAATTTTCAACCAAATTTAAAAAACTTGTTAAATAAATCCAAATTGATACAATGCCAACAAATTCTACATGTTTCTAAATATTCACTAAAATGAAACCACCTAAATGATTATTCTACTTAAAATTAAATAAATATTTATACTAAAATCTAAAATTTCGCACTCCCAAAATCGCGCTACAAATGCCAATATAACACACTCAAATTCTGGTGAAACAAAATAAAACTTGAACTTTTTAAAATAAATCGAAAATGTTACAAGTTCAACAGGAAATTCACAAAATAGTAAATAAATTTAAATAAGAGAAAAAAAGAGAAAGAAAATTTTGTGATAAATCTCTTAAATAAAATTTTACTGCTCATTAAGTTTTCATTAATGAATTTATTGTTTTTGCTTTTAAACAAAAACAAAACAAAAAATTAAATTAAATGAAAATTTTCCTCTTCTAAAACAGTTGTTTTGCAGCAGTTCATCATACTCAATGTTGTTTCAAAACAACAAAATACGAATGTAGGAAAAAAAAAAGAAAAACGTGTGAAAAATATTATTTCTATACTAATTTTCTTTTTGCAATTAAAAGTATTATGTGAACTAAATCTATTTAACAGAAGAAGAAAAAAAAGCGAATTTTCTAAGCATTTTCTTAAAAAAGAAAACTGGCATTTATTTATAAAAGAAAGTTTTTTTTTCGTTATAATGTTTAGTACAATACGGGTAAAGTGTTGCTGAAAAGTAAAAATTTTTTTAATGTTAATTTAAAATATGAGCTCTTCCGGTCAAAGTAGTTGTAGTTCTCATGCTACTCATGTGCCCATGTATTTTTTCAACAATAACAATTTAAATGGGCCACCAAAACCACCGGCTCGTAAGCGTAGACCCAAATCAATGTTCTATGTAAGTATTGCAAAATATTTATATACATATATATGTTTTCCCAGAGTGTGCAATATTTGGTATATTTTACTTTGTTAAAGATTTCCATAATCCCATAAATATATATTATATTGTTTATATATTAAATTTTATATACTAAGTTACTCCCACAAGTTTGGAATACAATAATTAAATAAGTCCCACTCATTTCCTTTTTAAAAAATTGTTTATTTTATTTTTAGCAAATATTTTTTTTTTGGTTTTGTAAAATTGTTTTGGAAAAAATTTCAATATTACAAAATTATACATAAATATTTTTAAGGGGGAACTTAAGTGTGTTTTTGGGCAAATCTACTAAATATATTTCAGTTAAAAATAAAATTTTTATTTATTATTTGGAATATTTTCAATTAGAATTTTCAGTGTAATAAATTTCCTCTAATAGTACTCCCGGGTTTCTTCGCTACAGTTAACGAAATTATATAAATAATAGATTACAAAAATATTAAAGAACAAAATGTGAAAACTTTCACAGATAATTTGCAAAAAGTACTTTTAGAATAAAACAATTTAAAATCTTTTGTTTTTCTCTTTCTAGACAAAATTTTTAAGAAAATTCAAAATATAAAACCAGTAGAAAAGTACCGAAATTGATACAATCCGTTGTCAAAAGTGAGCTTATCACGTTTATTTACAACGGATGTGTATAAAATCTAAATAACACCCAGTTATCATTTTGACAACCACGTGGTAATTTTGACAGTGCATCCTTTTCATTGCAACAACGTCTTGTTGTCATATCAATTATGCTTTGTGTCATTTCGGCAATGAATCGTTGTTATTGCGACAACGAATTGTTAACATTTCGACCACGTAACGTCCTGTTTGACAACATAGCGTTGTCATTTTGGTAACACATTATTATTTTTTAGTTGATTTGATAATGTCGTGTATTTTTTAGACTTTTTATACCCATCCTCAAAAAAGATGGGGGGTATATTGATTTTGTCATTCCGTTTGTATCACATCGAAATATTCGTCATAGACCCGCAAAAGCGTATATATTCTGGGTCCTTATTAAATTCTAGTCATGTCCGTCCGTCTGTCTGTTGAAAACACGTTAGAGTCCGAATGGAATGAGCTAGAGGGTTGAAATATTCCAGAAATATTCTCTATAGGTAAGGTTTGTTGTTGAAAATGGGCCATATTGGTCCACGTTTTCGGATAGCCCCCATACAAGTGGACCCTGGAAAACAGCCTTAACGGGCATATGTGTTTAAAAATGTAACTATAGCGATGTAATTCAACATAAATAAGTTTTATATGAGCCAAAAACTCCCTGCCAAATTTTATGAGGATCGGTAAATAATTGACCTTACCCCCCATATAAGGTCCTCTTCAGAAAATAACTTAAACCCTCATTACTCGCTTAAAAATACGACTATAGCGATGAAATTTGACATAAGTAAGTATCTTAGGAGCCAAAACTTTTCCACAAAAA